TGTTCAATAGTTACAAAGGAGCACCACACTAACTGCAACTTTAGACATGTTAATCAGTAATGTTTTTTGTTTGTAGATGGCATGTCATATTTCCTGCATTGTGTCTTCTGTTGAGGTTTAATTCAAGACCCCTGTTTCATTCTCATAACCTTTGGACTTATTTCAGTTCCACCTTGGCTGCTTCATTGCTACTGCTTGCTTGTCTTCACTGCTTCAAATTTGGCAGAGATATGCACTGTTCATTTAAATTTTATTTGGGGAAAACTGAACTCTTTGCCAGTCCTCCCATATTCAGTCAGTTTCCCCCAATTTATGTTGTCCCTATGGAGGTTGTTGTGCCACTCTTAGAACCAGCTGGTGTCCACACCTCCCTCTGTCACTCTCTTCTCTGTGATCACTCACAGGATTAAAACCAAGGAGAACTGTGTCTGGGTTAGAAGAACTGCTCTGAGTCTTCAAATTTCTGCAGGAAGCTGTGTTGTCAAGTAGAGAGAGCAGAAGCAACAGACAGATCGAAAAAAATCAAAGCAGGGGGATTAATGTGTTAGAATGCGATAAACCAATAATGATTCAAAAGCAGCCATGTTCAAGGGGTTTTGTGCAGTGTTAAGCTTATTTACTGCCCCCTTTTAATCAAAGTCTTCAAATTGAAAGTTTCCCTTGTGGATGATGCCCAGACAGACCCCCTAAGTTGAGAAATACTGTACTGTACTTGACTGCCAGAGGTCTCTGTGTGTCAGTGTGGTAAACTGAAAGAGAGATGGACTCAAACTTGGCAGCAGTTGTGGGGTGGAAAAGAAGGTCAGAATCGTGCAATTTGGCAGCCTGCCAGTGTCCACAGTGTGTGTCTGGCCTGGTTTGTGTGTTTTATAGCATAAGTATAGCAGCAGTTTGGTTGTGATTAAAAACTTAGTATTGCAGTCTGGCCTCTAAAACAAATCCAGCAAGTAGTTTTGTCAGACTGTGGCCCTACTGACCCTGACTGCTTCATAATAATCAATTTTCCTTCAGTGATCTAAAGCCTACACAAATTGTAAGAAGCATAGATCTGATATAAAGATGGATGGCGCATCAATACTTCCTCCCACTATGTAAAATTGAAGTGCTAATCTTGATTTTGTGAATTTAGGCATTTTTCGCCTTCACAAATAAACAAATCTAATTAATTGAATGAATTTGATATATCGTCTGGCCCTTGCCTAAAGTAATACACTTCATCACATTCTTTCCATATATTTACCCAAAAAATATCCATATCCCTTCTGATTGTAAACAAGGCTCCATCAGTTGTGTGATGCACCTTCATCTGCCTTGCAAAGACAAGCCATGCAAGCTCAGTTTTGGGGATGTTAATGCTCCTTAGCTAACCAGTTTCCTGTGAGAAATCCCCTCAGTCCTTGTCACATATGTTCCTCTGCACTGATACTTTCACTTTGTGGTTTCTGTGTATGACTCTCAAAAAATGTTGATATGCAACTTGATTATTTAATCAGCCATCTAATTTCCCACTTATGTGGAATTTCCTCTGTTTTTTTTTTTATTATATGGCTAATTGTGACTTGACTCAAAGAAATAAAACAATAATAATATAATCTATGAAATGTGAAACTGCCCTTTAGT